ACCCAGAGTTGGATCAACTCAGAGACAAACACCCGAATAGACTCCATGTCCTGCAACTGGAGGGCACTAATTATAACAGTTTCCCGCAGTTTGTCAAACAAGTGGAGGCCATAGTGGGTGACCAGGGTATAGATACCCTGATAAATAACGCGGGTATCGCTATTACAACATTTCTGGATTCAGTGACCGCTGAGGATATGCTTAAGAATTTTGAAGTGAATTCTGTGGCACCGCTTATGTTAACCAAAGCATTGCTGCCATTGCTTAAGGTTTGTCATAAAAATTATATCTGACTATCATGCAACTTTTAGTTTTATTTATACTTAAATATCTTAGTTAAAATATACGGATCTTATTTTAAAACTAATGTCTATGATATAAACTGTAAGTGTAATTATGTGGTAGCTATTAATCATAAAAAATTATATCAATGAATTAAATATTAAGACTAAAATATTGATTCTAATAATTTTCTAAATTCCAATAATTTAAATATTTTAATAATAATAATTATTATTATTATTTTAATATTGTTCGGCAAACTAAGCTAGTAATTTATTAAAATATTATTTATAATAACATATTTTTCTAATATATTAGACATCAGCACCATCTCGAAAGACCTCGGTCATTAATATATCATCCACTCTTGGGTCTATTGAGCTAAATACTGAACCCGAGGTCAACATATACCCTGATGCCAACGTATACCCGTACCGTACGAGTAAGGCTGCACTCAATATGATCACCAAATGTCTGGCGGTTGACCTCAAACCACACAATATCCATGTGATCAGTATATGTCCGGGTCATCTGAAAACAGATATGGGTGGACCTAATGCTGCGTTGGAAGTGAGCACCGGTGTGTCGGGTGTGATGAATGTTATTAAGACCATGGTCACTGATGATAATTTGGGAAAACTCATTAATCATGAGGGCTCAATAGTACCATATTGATTGTACTAATATTTACTTTCTGATTATTTGAATAAATAAATGATTATGAAAATTTAGTTTAATGGTAATATTTATTTAATACTGTACTATATAAATGTTTATAAAATTAAATAAATATTTTTATTACATTTGTGTTTATACTTTTATATTAAAATTTTATTAAATTAATTAATTTATTAATTGAATAAGTGTATTAATTATACAATCACAATGCTTCATTTCAATGGTTTAAAATTATTTTTAAAATAAAATAATCATAAATTCTGAATGATATTTACTTAATTTTAAAATAATTTTTTATAAATTTTTATTATACAATATTTGTATACAGTATATTGAAATTACATTAAAATATATAACAATAGCAAACAATAAAATAAATATGAAATTAAATATTACGCAGAATTTTAAAAAATTATTTCTAATAATATAATAAAATATGTAATTTATAAAAAATAATTAAACCATTTAATTAAATTGTGTTTGTAAAATGTACACTGTCAATTATGAGTCGAACAATGGTTTTGTTAGCGCGAGAGAAAAGTGATAAGGGTTATTTATTTATTTTTTATTTGAATGCATTGTTTCACGTGCAACCTCTACCAGTAGTAGGGATTTATATACCTTACAGTGTTGGTGCGTAAATGTATTACTGTATGTATTCAGTTATTGACAGGTTTATTGGTCGGATAGGTTAGGTTAGGTTTGGAAAAAGGATCAGATTATCACTAGAAAATGTAACCAGATTTTTGTGTGTTAGAAATTGATCTACCAGTTTCATACTGGACTAGTTTATATTATATTTATTTACACTAACAATGAAATATAGAAACTTTAATAATTACTACATACTATGTTAAAGTAAAGTAATGTGAAGCAAACCTACCAAGGTCAAGTGTATTTTATATGATAGTGCAAATGCACTAATGATGGCAAAATTACGTATATTTATACAATACAAATAAAACACATTAGGTTCTGTATATGCACTAAATTTAGTTTAGTCCTGTACATAATTTGTTGTAATATATTGCTAAATTATAAACAACGATATTCAGTGCAATTCATGAACTGCACACTATAAATACTGCGATCACTTTGTATTTGAATTTAATTTTAAATTGTGCATTATTCATATATTTTATATTACATCAAATTATATTTTCTATAAAGATTTCTCAATTTGGTATTCATTTGTAAAAATGAGTTATGAAAATGTGTTGATCACAGGCGCCA